AGGAAAATACTCCAATTGCACCTCTTTCCTGTTGGTTAATCAGTTGACTGATTCCCCAAAGACAAAAGTGTGCATACCTGAATGCCACCGAACTGGGAAGTCTTAGTGTACTTCTGATGTTCATACTGTGTAATAATACCATTAATGAACATAATGTTCCATGAAGATACCATACGCAGATCGTAAAAGTAATTCTCACTTACCTGAGTTGACAGATTAATTTCAGTTTACAATTTGTTTATAATGGCACAAGAATTTAGTTTTAGTGTTTAAAGTGGTCTTTCTACTGATCTGTTTTAGTTTAGCTCTATCACCTCTTTTCATTGTGAATTTTCTTGCATGTGAATAAATATATTTCAGGTAAAGAGAGGCGAGTAGAAACACGAATGACTGTTCAGAAGAACATATGTAGTATGAGCACCAATAGTGCAAGTTTCTCCATGAAATCTCACCAGCTCTTCTTAATTCTGATTTGAAAAAGTTCTATTGAGTGCCAAGGTTTGTGTCTCTTTGCTGAAAATCCCAACACAGTTGGAAACAGTCCAAAGATATAAAATGCTAATAATTATTTAATTATTAATAGTATTACAGCTAGTTATTAGTATAAGCCAAATAAGCAGTTTTATATTTAAATTATGTTTTCTAATCTAGTATTTTTAGTTGCTTTATGAAAATTTGACAAAGTACTTGAGTAATACAGTTCTGAACTGTGTATTAAGGAGAATTTTATTAAAGTTCATGAAAATAACATAAAAATTTATGAACAAAAATGGTGAAAACATATTTTTATGGTTGAAATAAAATTATATTGCTTATTTAATTTAAATAGTATTCAGTCATTCCTGAAAATATGATTAACAAGCTTCTACTCAGGCCTGCTTTCCCAAGTAGGCTTATAGATAAGTTTGCAAATTTCTTTTTTCAAAACAAAGTTCTCTTAAATGAATATTTCAGAGCTGTCAGAATAGCTTTTTGAACTTGATGCCCAACCTAACCTATGTCCAACAGTAACAATATTGATGGGCAGTTTTTCAACAGACAGGTATTAATAAAAAAATCTCTTGGACCTCTAAATCATGCAAATGACACAGGCCAGTTTCTAAGTCTTGCATGGAAAAGGGTGGAATAGAGCTGAGGAAATGTACTGTCATGGCTACATATTTTTAGAGGGCAGCTTTAATAGCACAATGTAAAGAACATACAGGTCTTTTATCAGTGGCTCATATGCATTATTACAGACATGAATTTCATGCCTTATATGCAATACATACAAGTAATACCTGAACACATGAGAAATCTCACATGGTCTCAACATCTACAGTGTACTAATCCACAAGTTTTATCTATCATTTAAAGTCTTTAACAAACCTTTTGACAGCTAATTAGTGTTCAGTATCTGGTTTAAATCAACAAAGAGGCAATAAGTAATTGGATTTAAATGGATCCCAGTTAAATAGATTATGACAATTAGAAAATACTTCTAAATAGCAAACTATCATGATAGACCTCAATTCCATGAATTATGGCCAGATCTACAAAAATGCATAAGGCATATGCAAGCAAGTGACCTTAATCTTATTTGACATCTGATTGTTTGGACCCTTGAATAGGAACACAAAGAAATTCCTCTTCCAATTAAGTAGCAGACTTTTGTTTACTGTGGTACTGCTGACCTGATGCAAGCACGATGTTTTCGTGGCCCATTTGAAAGATGTAAGAATTTTCATTCTGAAACTAAATTGTCATTTTATCTTCACTGTAAGTTTTCCATACTGTTCTTACTCTTAGTCACTGTGGGCTGCTTCCTTGTAAAATAATCTAAAGATTATTTTAGTTACCAAAGCCATTGTTCATTCTGCAGATTTCTTGCTTCTTCTACTAACTTGTGTACATCCAGGTGTCTAAGTAGCCACTTCCTTCTTGGCATCTGTTTACTTTGCTCCTGCACAACCAGCTTACAGTTTCATGGTTATTCCTTTTACAAACCACATTTTTCATTGTAGTGCTAAAAATCTATTATTTTTCTTCTGAGAGTCTATCTTGAATCCTAGTAGACTTCACAAGCCAACTATGAGATCTGCCTATCTAAGGCTTTCCTTTCAGCCCAGCTTTGTAAAACATCCCAAACATATAAAATTATTTATCTCTGACTTCTCCAGACAGGTCTGAGATTATTTTCCTGTGTGATTTCGGCTCATGAACATATAAGTCAGTAATGTGGAAAGCTGATTCTCCCAAAAGAAGCAGTCCAGTGGTATCAATTCATAAAGGATTTCTGCTGTAATTACTTGTTACTGGGCCACTAATTCTCTTAAAAATCATGAAATATTATATTAAGGAGAAAAACTTAATCCTTTTCAAAGTGGTCAGTTGTCTAGGCCAGCATTGCCCATTTACTAGGACCAAAGCAATTTTTGGCAGTATTAATAATGCTCAGGAACAGCAGAACTGTTTTCTGTTAGGAAAAAATAATTCATGCAGGGAACGATGCTGTGCTGGGAGATGTCCCCTGTGGAATTTCTCAAGGGCTGAAAACAATTGCAAAACTCATAGGCTTTTTGATGAAATGTGTAATGGATTTTGACCTCACCTCATTAAACAGTAGTACATAATACATTATGTTTAAAACCCTCAACTCACAAAATAAACATTTTACAACAGGGTAAAACTGGAACAGAGAAGAACAGGAATCCTGTCTTACTTTTAAATTAGATGCTTCTGGAAATCATTCTGATTGGAATGTTTAAAACATGCAGGTACATATATATGAGAAAGTCATCCCATGCTTGCTTTCTTTCTCTTTTGATGAAGAGAAGTTAAAGCCATCTTAGGTGCAGTTCATTGCATGTCTAAAATTCACCTTTAAAATAAGTCAGACAAATAATTCCCAGCAGGGATATCTATCTCCATTGACCATGAAGGGAGACCAGGTTGACTGGCTCAGATAATCAATGCTGAACTGTGAAATGAATTCCAAAATCAGAGACCACTGTGATGAGGCCGCATAAAACTGGAAGATGTGAAAATTAATTGGCAAATTCTTTGGCAAATGGTGCTTCTACTGCAAAATTTACCTTGAAGATGTAGGAAACAGCAACACAAGGAACAGGCAAAGCAGTCTGTCTTGTGATGAGGGCTTCTGTTACTACAGAAATTTCTGTAGCTGTCAACTGTCTTGTTTTTTGTTCAACTGATACTTAACAATTATGTGTAATGAAGAAAACAGTAAGAAACTGTGTACCCTCTGTTAGGCTATATGTAATTTGTCATGGTTTAGGAAGACGTATCCTGTGATTTAGTGTTTCCATTGATACACTCCAAACCATGCACTGCTTGCTCACTCCCTCTCCCTCTTCCACTGGAGCGGGCTGGAGAGGAGAACTGGAGGTACAAAAGGTAAAGGTCATGGATTGAGATAAGAACAATGATCAACTGAGACTGGTAACAGAAAAAAATTAATTATGATATCATGTACATTATTGTACCATAATGCCTGTAGCAAAGTTACATTATGATTTAGTCTAATTTTTTAATACAAACAACAAATTAATTTTTTTTTCCCAGAAGTGCAGAAATAATGTGAATTTAGCAAAGTTACATTATGATTTGGTCTAATTTTTTAATATAAACAAACCACAAATTTTATTTTTTTTTAGTGAAAGTGCAGAAATAAGGTGACTGTTGCAGATATATATATAAAGAGATAATACATGAACTTCTGTTCAATTGTAAACTTACATTGCATTCTCAGTCTTGCTAGGAAGCTACAGGAACAAAAGGTGACATCCCTTTAAAATGAGGGTTAGAACTGAGAGCCACAAGCTTGTTACAGATACAGGATGGCTCTGCAGAAAACTTGAAAAGAGCTTCTGTAACTTTACTTAAAGTAATTCAGCAGCTGAGCAAGGATGTAATTCGATCATGTTTTGGAAGTTGTGTGAGCAGAGCATGGTGATCTCATTGATAGGAGGAAATTCAGAATTGAGAGACCTTGTATAAAACCTTTTTGAAGGCACTTTCATTTGGGGGCATTTTATTGTAGGAAAGTGGACCAGTTTTTGGATATAAGATGCCTGTGGATATACCTGGCTCATGAGAAGGGCTTGATCTTACAATACCTATTTTCTTTTTGACATCCATGATTGTGTTGGGCTTTTTTTTGCTTTCTATCAGTCTGAATTAGCAGATATTACCCACTGTTTTTCTTGATAAGCAGCTTCAGCTGCTGAGTTTTTATTCTTTTGGCTGAAACTGTAAATTTTAATGAATGGTTTGAATTATTGGTGATTTCTGTGCTGTAAAGGTGGAACTTAGTGAATATCCTCAAGTTTTAAGGAAATGCAATCCTTTAAGATTCCTTTAAATTCAAAAAATGCCTCTTTAAGAACTATAGTATAAAGTGAAGTAATGTTTTTACTGTTGATATATCTTTAAATAAAAATATCTGATGAATTGAGAACCATTTCATTTCTTTACATACATATTCTGAAGCTTAATATATATTGGCATTCTAACTGATACACAGTTAAGTCTGGCAACACAAAGAATGCATATTATTACTGAGTCAAGGATAGAGTATAGAGAAGTCTTTTGAAACCTGTGCTTCCAAGGTACTGTTATAACTTGTAACTATTTTTACAGATCTGTGAGCCGCAGATTATTACACAATCCTGTGAAATATTTTGTGCTGGAAGAATTAGAATATTATGACAAATGGGAGGAAAATGTTGCCATTCTTTATAGGAAGAAATAAATTTAAGTCTCCTGAAAACAGCAGTTGATACAGTTCATATATTGAAACATCACGTTGTGTGTACCAAAAACCAAGATGTAAGCTGAGTGGGACATGATGAAAATGCTTTCCGGGTAAAACTTCATACAAGTTTCTAATTTCTAGTAATTTGCTATTACAATTATATCTTCATATTTTCCTAAGAGTATTATAAAATATTTTCATTTAAATCAAGAAACTAAGCAGTCCTTTTTTTTCCTTTACATAGCAGATGGTACGTGAACAATACACTACAACGACACCAGGCACTAGCCTAGAGAGGCCGAAGAATGAATATGTCTACAAAATTGGAATTTATGGCTGGAGAAAACGTTGCCTCTACCTATTTGTTCTCCTCCTGCTTATCATCCTAGTTGTGAATTTTTCTTTGACAATTTGGATTCTTAAAGTGATGTGGTTTTCCCCAGTAAGTGTCTTTTTTAATTTTCCATTCTTTTCATCTTCTCTTTCTTTCCCTGCCTCACCAATTCACTTATTTTGCATGTACATCAGCTTCTCTGTATGTAATAGATGTTTCTTTTTTCTTTCTTCTCAACTGTGACTTGTACTTTGGTTGAAAGTATGTCAGAAATATCTATCTTTGAACAAATTTCCTTATATGTAATTTCTGTACCGAGAATAATTTTTGAAATACTGAGGTTGTTGATACCTTCTATTGCGATGAATTCTAACCATTCTATGAGAATGTATTTTACTACTGTCTCATAGTCTGTGCTCAGTTGATATTTTATAAATGTGTTTCTGTTTAGTTGATATTTTATAAACGTGTTTGCTGTAACTTTATCTCATAGCAAATTCCTTAGTGTTAAAATATTGCAGACAGTTTATGGTTATTTAGCTTCCTTCTCTTATTTATCAGCATCTAAAATTTAAAAATTTATTTACCCAGTTAATTACAACTCAGAAGTAATTATCACTACATCATACTTGAAGCTAAGCAGCTATATAATTCAGAAGTAAATTTCATAGCTCTCCACTGTCATATAATGTAACTTTGCATGTACTAGGTTAAAGGGTAAGTTTTAGAAGTCTGCAAGATATGACTTTAATCATGCAATAATATGCATCAGTGAATGTTGAAGCTAAGCTAATTTGTTCCTAACATGCAGTTGTGATACACAGATGATTTGAATAGACTTATTACAAGAAAAACAATAATAATATATTTCTACAGTCTGCCCTGGCTACTGAAGAGAGTAGCTAAAGTTTTCATTATCTATTGTTATTATACCTCTGTCACTAAATGAAGACCAATTCTAGGGAAATAACTAAGTTTCCGCTAAATATCAACTATAAATACATTTGTGCAAAGTACACATGTATGTCACAATCCTCAGAAAAAGTACCTGTGACACCATTATGAACATCATTGAGAATTTTTTTTACTGAGTATTGTTTCAATAACGTCTGTCAAGACAAGAATTAACTCCAAAGGTACCCAGACAATCATAGAGAAGCACTGCTAGCTGCTAAGTCTAAGAAAGAGTGTAAATGTTAACTGCATATTCAAAGTCTAGAAGTATAATTGAAACATCACAAACCTGTCCTGTGTCTAAACACCATTTGTAGAGAATTAGTGTAACAGTCATAGAAATTATCTGGTGGAATTAAGCCCTTATGCATCCAGGTTTTTTGTTCCTTTTTGAAAAAGAGAAGTATCAATATGTTGTCAGAATTAGATTTTTATGATTTGTGACTTCCAAGCTTGACAAATATTTGCTATTTAGGAAATCAGTTGATTCATATATATCCCACTTATCCAATTAAGCATTCCCATTATTGACAAGAGCTAAAAGTAATTGTGAATTATTATCCTATGTAATCATCAGTTATTTAGCAAATACCGGACTGTTGATCATGATAACGCTTCTGATATTTATTATGTGTTCTAGTATATTGTGTAGAGATTGCAGGACTTACTGTTTAATATTCATAATAGATATTGTATTTTTAGTTAATACTTTAAAAATATTTGTTCCTAGTTTTAAAAAAATACATTAAAATGTTATGCCTCTTACCAATATTCTGATAGGTAATAAGATGGTAACAACTCTTTTCTCTGTAAGATAATACAAGAAACAAGTTGCATTCTCACTACAGTTGATAAACATATTTAGAAAAAACATGGCAAACATTTTAAAAGATATTTTTATAGTACAGTTCTGGAGAGAGTTTATGCTCAAAGTAAACTTTAAACATAGCATGACTGTAGTAGGTAGTTTTATTAGGAAAAGAATTTTTCAGTATTGTGCATAAGGGTGTTGGTGCTTTAGTGATTGATCAGCCTGGTTCTATAGCACAGCCTTTTCATGACCCCACTCAAAGTTTACCAACTTGTTATTTTGACATTTAGGTTTCTTTTATAGTATGAAAATTGTTCTCTTTTTCTGTAAAGCATCCTTTAATCTTTCATTAAATAATAACTTGCAGTATACAAAAATCAGATGCTATGTCTATTCAGAGATCCAAATTAAAATAATGATGAAATTATAAACAGAGCTTCAGCAAGCTCTGGCCTAGAATTAATCTATGCACACATGTCCTGTCTGAAGCCCCAAAAACTCAGACAGTGTGATAAATACTAGCCAAGAAACTAAGCTGATAAAGGAGATCATGAACCAGACACAGATATGCTGCAACAGGAATAGATTCTGATCTCGTTGTAGGAATTTGGAAGAATGATAAAAGACAGAAAATTTTCTAAACCCCATTGTTTGAGAGGCCTTCAGCATTAAATGAAGATAAGTTGAAGAGAATTTCATTTCATTTCATAAAATCTAGACTAAAAGAGAATATATTCCTTTTCTCATACTACCCCAATTACATATTAGCATCTCCAAATTGTGCACATTGATTCAAAGGTATCAGATATGCCTCATTCTTTTTTTCCTTTTCTCTTTTGGAGTTCAGAGGGATAGAGTCTCAAGTTTTTTTGTGCAGATGAGAGAAGAAACCTGTGAATTCATTATATTCAGTTGTTTCAGAGAAAAAAGAATCAAATAATTATGCCTTGAGCTTGGTGAATAAGGTGAAACAGAGTAATTTTAAAACTAGCATTATTTTTGCATGAAAAGCAGCTTGAAAAATGGTTACGGTTTTTTTCCCCTGGACAACATATCAAATTTTGCATGTAATGGAAATTCCAGATTCCATTCTTAACATAATGAAGCTTTCTGAGAACTAAAGGGGACTGCTAGCTGTAAAAGTTTAGAAACTAAGAATCATAAGGGATTTAGGGCTGCAACAAGGCGAGGATGTCAGAAGTCCCATGGACAATTCTGAAGGGTCCAGTAAGTCTGAAAGAGGGGAACTTTAATGTCTCTTATGTCTGTTTAAAGGACAAGCATGACAGGATCGAAGCAGTGAAGATTTCTAGAGGGTGTCAGTAGTAGCTTCTGGATAGGACAGTTAAAGGTGGCACACAGAAAAGCTTGATGAAGTTTAAGGACAGTATCCTCCAAATGTAGGCAGGTTACTTGTGACGGAGCTTCAATGCAAAAAGCAATATTACAGAATATTCTGAGTTGGAAGGGAAGCACCATAGAGTTCAACTCTTGAGTGTTGAGTCTTGCCTGTACAGGGATTGACCCCACAACCTTGATGTTATTAACACCATGCCCTAAACAGCTGAGCTGATCTCAGGGTATAGAAGACTTGGAAGCAAAGACAGGCTACAAAGAAGAAATCTAGAAACATTGTCTGGGTCTGGGCCAGGCTTCCTCTCCAGGAAAACCCAAAACTCAAGCCTCAGTCAAGATTACAAAGAGCAAATGGCAACAAGGTGGTCTGCATCCATAGGTGCAGAGAGAACTGTCTGATTCCGTGGCAGTCACCTCCTGCAATGTTTGACAGGTTTTGGAGACTGGGGAAATCCTCAATAACTGGGGGAGTGCTAGTGTTACACTTGTGTTCAAAAAGGAGGCCATGGATTTACTAAGGGTGAATGATGCCTGACCAGTGTGATTACCTTCTATGGTAAAATGTCTGAAATAAGGGAGGGCACAAGATATCATTTACCCTGATTTCACCAAGGCTTTTGACTCTCTCCCAACAATATTCTTAAACCCTAGTTAGGACATTACAGTCATGAAGAGTGGACAAACAGCTAAGTATTAAAGATAAATGGCCTGAATAGTCAGTCTTGGAAGGTAGATACTAAAGTATTGTAGTCTACATGGAGGCCAGTAGTAAGCATTGCAGTTGTCCTGTCACTGGTCCTTTTCAACCACTTTATCAATTACTTGGAAGAGGTAGCAGAATGCTTGCTCACTAAGTTTGCAGGTTACACCGATCTGGGGGTACCATTCAATACTTTCAAGGCTCAGGCTGCCATTCAGAGGGGCTTAGACAGGCTGGAGATAGGCTAGTCCTAGTCCAGGATTGTCTAGTGCTCTAAAACTCAGGTGTGAAAAATGCACCTGGTCAGACGAATATCATTTCTAATGCTCTAGCAAATTTTATTCAGAAACCCCTGATTAATTCAATTATTAAATATAATAACTATTATTTAGGTTCTTCTACGTTATCATAACACCAAGAACAGTTGTGTGTCAAAAAGATTATTCCTAACTTGTCTTAGCCTCTGATGGAGAAACCTATGTTTTCCATGGATTTTAGTGGATGTCCCAGCTATCATGGTCTCCTGGAATAAGAAAGGTGATTGTGCTCTTTTATATTGATAAGGACAGCTAGTAGTGCAACTAGAGTATTCCCCAGGATAACTAGTTGCCTTTCTTCAGCGTGGAGTTTGGCACATAGCACTGGTTTTTCTCTGGCAAAAACTTTAAGCACAGTGTAAGGGAAGTAAACAGGGTTTTATAGTTTTAGATGCACTGTCAGTCAAACATGATTCGAATCTGCACTCAATCCCAAGTTCTCCTACCATCCATGTTAAACCTTCCTTGAGTTTGAGTCACTAACAAGAAGAAAGTCAAGTCTCAATACTAAGCATTAGAACCACAAGTTATCACGACAAGAATTAACTACGTATATGGAGGGCCAAGTACACAATATCCAGTCTATTAGTGCATATTCTAAGCGTGGTTTTTCCTGAGAACAGGACAGATGTTGAACCTGATCTTGTGCCTGCACTTCATTGAGACACAGAGACACAGGCAACAAGAATTGCGAGGGTCTCTGCACATTTAAGCTAGAGAGTGGACTTCACTTTTATGCACGTAAATTTCTGGCGCTGGAGTAAATAGGAAAATTGCTATAGTTAGACAAAAGGATACAGGGTTTTCCAAATAATATTCACAGGTATTTTCTTCTTGTGGCTTCCTTGTAATTAGTGAGTGCTCTACCTGTGTAGCTGTTCTCAGAAATTTTATTACAGACATAGCAGCCTTTTAATCCTTTTGGGCTCTCATGGGCAATTAACAGTGAATATAGACAAAGTATTAAAAT